ATAAAACAAAAAAAGATAGCTTTGAGCAAATATAAGTAAAAAAAGATCAATATAATTTTAGATTTGGCTCAAAATGTGTAAACAGTATTTAGATTAATATTGTGTCTTGTATTTAGTTGGGAATAAAAATGATTTATAATATTTAAGAGAAGTTAATCGATTATCTGGGCAAAGCTTTGCTTCAGTAAACTAATTGCTTTTTGAAGAATGTAGTGCAGCAAGCGGAGAAAAAATTGAAGATATTTTAAAAGAAATGGTGTCAAGTATATTTGCTGCCAATTTAATTTAGATATATATCAAATATTGATGATGAATGAAATTTAGGTAGATAATCAATTATCAAGGTCATCTATTTCAATAAAATCAAATTGAAATAGTTTAAACTCATGTTGTATTTGAATGTAAATTAATAGAAATCTAAAGAGTAATTGACAAAATAGAAAATGAAAACTTTTATTAAATTCATTTTTTAGTAAATTTAGGATGAGTTTTAAACATTCACCATATGAATTACAAACATGATTTTAATAATAATCTCATAATTACTTATAATTCAAAAGTAAACATATAAAACGAGATATTTAATATGATTTAGGATTAATTATTTAATAATAATTTAATTATAGAATAAGAAAAATTAATTAGAAACATTAAATTTTCATAATTTAAATGAATTAAGTACTTTATTAGAACCATATTAATGATTAATAAAAAGTTAAAATGTGAAATTATATTACTTTTAGAAAATATATTTAATATGGTGATTCATGAAAAATTTGAGATTCATTAATTATTAATTGTTTAAATGGATCTAAAAATTAAAATTATTAAAATAACTCTAATTAAAAAAAAATATGATAAATACAGAATCTAATAAAGAAGGATAAGTGGAAGCAAACTAGAAAGATAACACAGATTGTTAATGCACTGAAAAATAATGTGTTGAATAATGTTTATGTAAAACTGGTGGATAATGTACGTGTACAAACTGTAAATGTTCAGATTGTTAATGCACTGAAAAATAATGTGTTGAATAATGTTAATGTAAAACAGGGGGAGAATGTACGTGCACAAACTGTAAATGTAATAACAATTGTTAATGCACTGAAAAATAATGTGTTGAATAATGTTAATGTAAAACTGGTGGATAATGTACGTGTACAAACTGTAAATGTTCAGATTGTTAATGCACTGAAAAATAATGTGTTGAATAATGTTAATGTAAAACTGGTGGATAATGTACGTGTACAAACTGTAAATGTTCAGATTGTTAATGCACTGAAAAATAATGTGTTGAATAATGTTAATGTAAAACTGGTGGATAATGTACGTGTACAAACTGTAAATGTTCAGATTGTTAATGCACTGAAAAATAATGTGTTGAATAATGTTAATGTAAAACTGGTGGATAATGTACGTGTACAAACTGTAAATGTTCAGATTGTTAATGCACTGAAAAATAATGTGTTGAATAATGTTAATGTAAAACTGGTGGATAATGTACGTGTACAAACTGTAAATGTTCAGATTGTTAATGCACTGAAAAATAATGTGTTGAATAATGTTAATGTAAAACTGGTGGATAATGTACGTGTACAAACTGTAAATGTTCAGATTGTTAATGCACTGAAAAATAATGTGTTGAATAATGTTAATGTAAAACTGGTGGATAATGTACGTGTACAAACTGTAAATGTTCAGATTGTTAATGCACTGAAAAATAATGTGTTGAATAATGTTAATGTAAAACTGGTGGATAATGTACGTGTACAAACTGTAAATGTTCAGATTGTTAATGCACTGAAAAATAATGTGTTGAATAATGTTAATGTAAAACTGGTGGATAATGTACGTGTACAAACTGTAAATGTTCAGATTGTTAATGCACTGAAAAATAATGTGTTGAATAATGTTAATGTAAAACTGGTGGATAATGTACGTGTACAAACTGTAAATGTTCAGATTGTTAATGCACTGAAAAATAATGTGTTGAATAATGTTAATGTAAAACTGGTGGATAATGTACGTGTACAAACTGTAAATGTTCAGATTGTTAATGCACTGAAAAATAATGTGTTGAATAATGTTAATGTAAAACTGGTGGATAATGTACGTGTACAAACTGTAAATGTTCAGATTGTTAATGCACTGAAAAATAATGTGTTGAATAATGTTAATGTAAAACTGGTGGATAATGTACGTGTACAAACTGTAAATGTTCAGATTGTTAATGCACTGAAAAATAATGTGTTGAATAATGTTAATGTAAAACTGGTGGATAATGTACGTGTACAAACTGTAAATGTTCAGATTGTTAATGCACTGAAAAATAATGTGTTGAATAATGTTAATGTAAAACTGGTGGATAATGTACGTGTACAAACTGTAAATGTTCAGATTGTTAATGCACTGAAAAATAATGTGTTGAATAATGTTAATGTAAAACTGGTGGATAATGTACGTGTACAAACTGTAAATGTTCAGATTGTTAATGCACTGAAAAATAATGTGTTGAATAATGTTAATGTAAAACTGGTGGATAATGTACGTGTACAAACTGTAAATGTTCAGATTGTTAATGCACTGAAAAATAATGTGTTGAATAATGTTAATGTAAAACTGGTGGATAATGTACGTGTACAAACTGTAAATGTTCAGATTGTTAATGCACTGAAAAATAATGTGTTGAATAATGTTAATGTAAAACTGGTGGATAATGTACGTGCACAAACTGTAAATGTAATTCAAATACCCAAAATAATTAGTCTGATAGCAACTGATTTATTTTATTCATTTAAATGTTCAATATATAAATTTCAAACTATAATCTATTAAATATTCAAACAGAAATTAAAATTAATTCATATATCTGATTTTATCTTTTTAGTAATTTAATTTAAAAATATATACAAAATATTATTTTAACTTTTATCCTTAAATTTCTATTGAATTATTATTAATTTTTCATTATTTTTATGGAAACAACATCTATTTCCCATCTGACTTTGTCGAATTGATATTTAAATTATCCCTTTAAACGGTTCCCTTTTATTTTCTTTTTTCGCTTAAATTTGGAGTTTCTGACATTTATTAGCTTATATTGAATCATTTATTTCTTCTTGTTTTAATTGTTTATCCTTTAAATTTAAATTGCCTAATTTTATAAGTATTTTTGATTCTTCTAATTTTGGTGTATCAGTTGGACTTAGTGATTTATCTCTTTACGTATCAGAACTTGTAGGAAAGTCTGAAAATTATTCCTTGGTGCCAACCAAATCTACATACTCAAACTTATCAAAATGTGTATATTTAAATAGCCATCTTGAAACTATTTTGAATTTTATATTATACTTAAGAGAGAAGTTTTAAAAATGGAATCATTAGTATTAATTCTTAATCTGTTTTATCTTCAAAATAGTTTAAAATATGCACAGCATTCATCGGTTAAAATTTGAAGGAATTAACAGAATTCTTAAGAGTCTAATAAATGTTATACATCTATTAATATCACTGAATCTAAATTTCTTTTTATTAATGAAAGATATTCACTAATGCTTGCTGTAATAAATTCTTGAGCTCCTGGTTTTAAGTTTACATATATTTTATATTTCTAATCGGTCATTGCAACTTTATTAAATTTTATATATACTTCAACGAATAAGTCAGTTATTTTCATCGGTTCAAAGGAACTGTGAACCAAAGTTTCCTCCAAATCAATTACTAAAGTTTTTCTCCCCTAATCTAATCATGATTTTACTTTAGATCTTTCAGTTTATTAAGGGATTTCAACAGGGTTCTTGAATTATTCATAACTTTCAGATTTTGATTTTCGAAACTTGAGACACTTACAAATCAATTAAACTAAAGAACTTGCTTATTATCTCTTTTTTTAAAGAAAATATTTTTGAAACAATATTTTAAGTTAAGGAGAGAAAAACTTACCAGTTTCCAATTGAAAGTTTTTATAACTAATTTTATGGTGAGACTTCCTTTCAGTATTTGGTATTTGGGGTAAATTATATATTTTACTCAAATTCACTTGTTATAATATAAAACCCAATAAATTTTTTTTAAAAGTTTGAATTCAATTGTTTGGGAAGAATTCAAGAAATTAATTTAAAATCAAAAAATATTTTTTTGTTGTTAATAAAAATTTTTAATTTAGATGCTTTTATACCTGAGTTAGCTTATTTAATTAATAAGCAAAATATTATTTATTGTAATCTTAAATTTCAAATAATAATAGCTCAGAAATAAGAATATAAGTTACTTCATTTACTTAAGAGAAACCTATTATAAATATATGATAGCTATGGAAAGCCGTAATAAAAAATGGTAAATATATAAAAGGTAAATAAGTATACTATCATAATAGATATTCAGAGATAAAACTAATTCATAGTAAATTGATTGAATTATTTAATGATCTACCTTAATTTCCAAAGAAATAAATATTTCACCTAAATCGAGTGAGATCGAGTTCAAAATGTAAAAACTTAATGATTATCTGAATAAAATGTTAAGTTGAGAAAAAATTATGAACTCAACCATTTTTAGAGCTTTTTTAATAATAATCTTTTCGTTCTAAAAAGCTTGATAAATAAGACAAATTCATATATAAAGTTTAAACTTAAAACAGATTTTAAATATATGTTTGAAAGATATGCATGCAAATGAAAATATTTTTTTTTATTTCTTCATGACTCTAGTATT